TTCCATTGGATTGATCTTGCTGCAATCATCATCCATGTATTCTGTTTCTTTATCTATGACCCATCGCCTGTCTGGTTCGGCCCCCGATGGACACAATGCATTATTTACATCACCTTGTTTGTGTCCTCTGTCCATTCTAATGTGCACCACACCTATCCTAAGCAGCAGTCAGAATCCTTGAACCATAAACTCGTGTCATAAGACTGTACATGGTTTACAAATAACAAATGTGAAGTAGTCCATAGTAACCAGTTAAACATTTGCTTTCACTGTCAGAAACGAAAAGCAAGAACAATCGCTGCACGTTATTGTATATTTACACTTCGGTAGTAAATCAGATGGGAATGTCACAAGGCTGCCTCCTGCCTAATGACCAGTATCATAAAGCCTCTCTTTTATTCATCCCACAACCACTGCAATGAAAGTGAAGAGCGCAGTCGGTAAATTGCTCCAAAATGTGATACCTGACCCTCATTATTCTTCATTCTCGTCCCATCTCCTCTCCTATTGGAAACCTTGTGCCGCCTTTATCATCTGTCCAAATCTGAGCCCACTAGTTCAACTTGTAGTGCAAGAATAGATTCAAAGTACATGGTCACATCACCTATGTATCACCATCACATTACCTATATATCACCATCACATTACCTATATACCACCATCACATTACCTATATACCACCATCACATCACCTATATATCACCATCACATCACCTATATACCACCATCACATTACCTATATACCACCATCACATCACCTATATACCACCATCAAATTACCTATATACCACCATCACTTACCTATATACCACCATCACATTCACCTATGTATCACCATCACATTACCTATATACCACCATCACATCACCTATATATCACCATCACATTACCTATATACCACCATCACATTACCTATATACCACCATCACATCACCTATATACCACCATCAATTACCTATATACCACCATCACATACCTATATACCACCATCACATCACCTATGTACCACCATCACATTACCTATATACCACCATCACATTACCTATATACCACCATCACATTACCTATATACCACCATCACATCACTATATACCACCCTATATATACCACCATCACATTACCTATATACCACCATCACACTACCTATATACCACCATCACACTACCTATATACCACCATCACATCACCTATATACCACCATCACATTACCTATATACCACCATCACATTACCTATATACCACCATCACATTACCTATATACCACCATCACACCTATATACCACCATCACATCACCTATATACCACCATCACATTACCTATATACCACCATCACATTACCTATATACCACCATCACATCACCTATATACCACCATCACATTACCTATATACCACCATCACATTACCTATATATCACCATCACATTACCTATATACCACCATCACATTACCTATATACCACCATCACATTACCTATATACCACCATCACATACCTATATACCACCATCACATTACCTATATATCACCATCACATTACCTATATACCACCATCACACTACCTATATACCACCATCACACTACCTATATATCACCATCACATTACCTATATACCACCATCACACTACCTATATACCACCATCACATCACCATCACACATTACCTATATACCACCATCATTACCTATATACCACCATCACATTACCTATATCACATCACACTACCTATATACCACTATCACATTACCTATATACCACCATCACACTACCTATATACCACCATCACACTACCTATATACCACCATCACATTACCTATATACCACCATCACACTACCTATATACCACCATCACATTACCTATATACCACCATCACACTACCTATATACCACCATCACACTACCTATATACCACATCACATTACCTATATACCACCATCACACTACCTATATACCACTATTACAATATCTATATTACATCATCACACATCCTGTATACCAATATCACACTACAAATATATCACTATAACACTCTCTATATACCATCATCACATTACCTATATACCACTCTCATTAATCAGTCATTACTCAACATGAAGGTGCCTTAGTCACAGCCACACTCTTCTCACATCCTATGCCCTCATCTACACTAAGACAAGCTATATTTTCAACAGCTGTTCTTGGTTTCCTCATCAGTTTTTACATCAGTTCATTCTTTTCCTCTTTGCTACTGTCTTGTAGTGATCTCTACGTCCTCACCTAATGACATCAGTATAGCATCATGCCCTCACCTGTGCCATCATCTCACCTGTGCCACCATCTCACCTGTGCCACCATCTCACCTGTGCCACCATCCTACCTTTATCCCTTCACCTGTGTCATCCTACATTTGTCTCTTCACCTGTGCCATCATCCCACCTTTGGTTTCCAACAGGTGCCATCATCCCACCCTCATCCCCCACCTGTGCCATCATCCCATCTTCAGTTTCACACCAGTGCAACCATCTCCCCTTTATCTTCTCACCTGTGCCATCATCCCACCTTAATCCCCTCACCTGTGCCATCATCACCACCTTAATCCCCTCACCTGTGCCATCATCCCACCTTAATCCCCTCACCTGTGCCATCATCCCACCTTCATCCCCTCACCTGTGCCATCATCCCACCTTCATCCCCTCACCTGTGCCATCATCCCACCTTCATCCCCCTACCTGTGCCGTCATTCCACCTTCATCCCCTCACCTGTGCCATCATCCCACCTTCATCCCCTCACCTGTGCCATCATCCAACCTTCATCCCCCTACCTGTGCCATCATCCCACCTTCATCCCCTCACCTGTGCCATCATTCCAACTTTATCAACTCATGTGTGCCATCATCCAATCTTTATCTTCTCACCTGCACCATCATTCCACCTTTATCATCTCACCTATGCCACCATCCATCCCTTCACTTGTGTCAACCTACCTTCGTCTCTTCACCTGTGCCATCATACCACCTTCATCCCCTTACCAGTGCCATCATTCCACCTTTATCATCTCATGTGTGTCATCATCCAATCTTTATCTTCTCACCTGCGCCATCATTCTACCTTTATCATCTCACCTATGCCCCCATCCTACCTTCATCCCTTCACCTGTGTCATCCTACCTTCATCCCTTCACCTGTGTCATCCTACCTTCATCCCTTCACCTGTGTCATCCTACATCCTTCATCCCTTCACCTGTGTCATCCTACCTTCATCCCTTCACCTGTGTCATCCTACCTTCATCCCTTCACCTGTGCCATCCTACCTTCGTCTCTTCACCTGTGCCATCCTACCTTCGTCTCTTCACCTGTGTCATCCTACCTTCCTCTCTTCGCTTGTGCCATCATACCACCTTCATCCCCTCACCTGTGCCATCATTCCACCTTTATCATTTCATCTGTGTCATCATTATATCTTCATCTTCTCACCTGTGCCATCATTCCACCTTTAACATCTCACCTATGCCACCGTCACACCTTCATTCCTTCACCTGTGTCATCCTACCTTCATCTCTTCACCTGCGCCATCATACCACCTTCATCCTCTCACCTGTGCCATCAATCTATGTTCAGCTCTTTTCCGGTGCCATCACCCCACAGTTATCCCCTCACATGTGTCATAATCCCACCATTAACCCCTCACCTGTACAATAATCCCACCTTTCCCCCTCTCCCCTTGCTTGTGCCATCATCTAAACATCATTCCATCATGTTTTTTATCAGCCCACCTTCATCATTCACTCACTTAAGACATGCCACTGTCAGCTCCTCACCTGTGTTGCAACTCCATCTGTATCCCCTCACCTGTGTCTTGATCCCACCTTCAGTTTCTCATCTGTGTCATAATCCCACACTGGGGCCCTTTCCTACATAATTTTCCAAGTTTGGCCCCTCACCAGTGCCATGATCCCACCTCTTGGCCCCTTCACTGTTCTGTACTCCCAACTCTGGACCCCTTACCTATGTCATATTTTCAACTCTGGGCCCCTCACTTATGTTGTATAATCCCACTTTCCCCCCTTCACCTGTGTAATATTCCAACTCTAGGTCCCTTATTTGGGCCATGATCCTACTTCTGGACCCCTCACCTGTCTCATACTGCCACCTCTGAGCTCTTTCCCTCTATCATACTCCAGTACCCTGACCCCTCATCGGGCTCCCACACTCACTACTGGACCCCTTACCTGTCTCATACCCCAACTGCTGAGCCCCTCACCTGTTTCATATTCCCACCCCAAAGGTTATACCTCCATCCTTTGGCACCTCACCTGTGTCGCACCCAAACCCCTGGGCCTCTCACCTGCTCCTAACCCTTCACCTGTCTCCTACCTCCACCACTGGGCCCCTCACCTGTCCCTTACTCTCATCTCTTGGCCCTTCACCTATCCAATACCCAACCCATGGGCTCCCTACCTTTTCCCTACCCCCACCTCTGGACCCCTCATCTGTCCCATACCCAACCCTGGGCCCCACACCTACCCCTTCCCCCACCTCCAATGCCTCAACTGAACTATACCCCAACCCCTGAGCCTTTCACCCGTCTCATACCTCCACACTTTGGCCCCTCACCTGTCCCATACCCAAACCCTGGGCCCCTCACCTGCCCCTTACCCCACCCTTGGTGCCTCACCTGGACTATATCCCAACCCCTGAGCCTTTCACCTGTCTAATACCCCCACACTTTGGCCCTTCACCTGTCCCATACCCAACTCCTGGGCCCCTCACTTGTTCCATACCCAACTCCTGGGGCCCTCACCCCTATCCCATACCCAACTCCTGGGCCCCTCACCTGTCCCATACCCAACTCCTGGGACCCTCACCTGCTCCATACCCCAACCCCTCAGCCTTTCACCTGCCCCGCACCCAACCCCTGGGCCCCTCACCTGCTCCATACCCCAACCCCTCAGCCTTTTACCTGCCCCGCACCCAACCCCTGGGCCCCTCACCTTTCCCCTTCCTCTACCCCCGGGCCCCTCACCTGTGTCATGAGCCGGTCCGCCCCGGTGTTCTCCTCGTCCTTGAAGATAATGTCCGAGTTGTAGTTTGGGGTGAGCTCCTTGAAGCGCTCCGAGTTGCGGGCGATCTTGCCCTCGTACCTCCCGCTGGCCCCCAGGGTCTTCTCGGGCACATTGGGGCTGAACTGCTTGTAGGAGAGCGGGGTGAGCTTGGCCGGTCTTCGCCTCCTGCCCACCACCCTGCCCGGCCCGCAGCCTCGCACCGCCGGGCTGAGGAGCAGCGAAGCGCCGCAGAGCAGCAGCACGATCGGGGGCAGCTGCATGGGGCGTCCGGGCTCCCTGGGGCTGCGGATCACGGGAGCTCCATCCGCCGGCGGCACCGGGGGAGGGTGGGGGGGACCTCAGTCCAGGTGTGCGGCCCCTCCACTCCCGGTCTCTGCTGGGGGGGTCCGGACCTCCAGGGCTACGGGGACTGCTCCCGGGACCGGCTCTCCTCGGACTGTCACTGATCCCGGGACCGGTTCTTCGGGACAGGCTCACCCCGGACTGTCACTGCTCCCGGGACCGGCTCTCCTCGGACTGTCACTGCTCCCGGGACCGGCTGTCCCCGAACTGTCACTGCTCCCGGGACCGGCTGTCCCCGAACTGTCACTGCTCCCGGGACCGGCTGTCCCCGAACTGTCACTGCTCCGGCTCTCCTCTCCCAGGATGCTCGGTGCAGCGCTCCGCCGCCTGTCGGGGTGTGTGTGTGTCCGCTCCCGGCGCTGGCCGCCCAATAAATAGGAAAGGCGGTTTGTTTTGGCACATGGATGGCAGGAGGGGAGGGGGGGGTGCTTTATACCGGGACTGCGGAGCTCGCACTCACTTCACGCCCACTTTATGACACGACAAGACTGCCACCTCGGGCGGCTCTCAGTCTGACCTCCCATCACCCAGCGGAGCCATCGGGGCCACAGACACACCGATCCCCGCACTACCCTGAGCTGGGCTGTCACCGAGCCCGACAATTAGTCCCTGTCCTGATAGCCTGTCCCTGTCCAATTATCCCCGACAATTAGTCCCTGTCCTGATAGCCTGTCCCTGTCCAATTATCCCCGACAATTAGTCCCTGTCCTGATAGCCTGTCCTTGTCATGTTACCCCCGACAATTCAATTCGTTTCTGTCCTGATAGCCTGTCCCTGTCATGCTATCCCAGACAATTCCATCCAGTCTTGATAACCTGTCCCTGTCATGTTATCCCCCGACAATTCCTCCCAGTCCTCATACCCTGTCATGTTATCCCCCATAATTCCTCCCAGTCCTCATACCCTGTCCCTGTCCTGTTATCCCCGGACATTAAGTGCCAGTATACTTCTATGCCCGACAATTTTCCCAGTCCTTATATTCTGCCCCAGTCCTAATTTTGTGCCCTTGTCCCACTATCCCCGACTATTACTCCCTTTCCTGATATTCTGTCCCAGTCCCGATGACCTGTCCCAGTCCTGACATTCTGTCCTTGTCCCACTATCCCTATTACTTCCTGTCCTGATTCTGTCCCCCTACTGCCATTCCAGACATTATGTCCCCTTCCTGACACATTGTCCCTGTCCTACTATCCCTGACAATTCTGTCCCAGTCCTTCTACCCTGTTCCCCGACATTGAGTCCCTGTCCTGCCATCCTGTCCCTGTGCTACAATCCCTGTCATTCAGTCCCCGTTCTGCAACCTGTCCCCTTACTGGCGTCAAAGATATTATGTCCCCATCCAGCTGCCCTGTCCTTGTGCTACCATCCCGGACATTTTGGTCCCTATGCTACCTTTCAGTCCCCATACCATCCCCGACAAATCTCCCCTGTCCTGCCACCCTGTCATTGTCCTGCTAACCTGTCCCTGTCCTGCTACCCTTTCCCTGATATCCTGTCCCTGTCCCGCTACCCTCTCCCTGATATCCTGTCCCTGTCCCGCCACCCTGTCCCTGATATCCTGTCCCTGTCCCGCTACCCTGTCCCTGATATCCTGTCCCTGTCCCGCCACCCTGTCCCTGATATCCTGTCCCTGTCCTGCTACCCTGTCCCTGATATCCTGTCCTGTCCTGCTACCCTGTCCCTGTCCTGCTACCCTGTCCCTGTCCTGCCCTGTCCCTGATATCCTGTCCCTGTCCTGCCATCCTGTCCCTGATATCCTGACCCTGTCCTGCTACCCTGTCCTGCCCTGTCCCTGATATCCTGTCCCTGTCCTGCTACCCTGTCCCTGTCCTGCCCTGTCCCTGATATCCTGACCCTGTCCTGCTACCCTGTCCCTGTCCTGCCATCCTGTCCCTGATATCCTGACCCTGTCCTGCTACCCTGTCCCTGATATCCTGACTCTGTCCTGCTACCCTGTCCTGTCCCTGTCCTGCCATCCTGTCCCTGATATCCTGACCCTGTCCTGCTACCCTGTCCCTGTCCTGCCATCCTGTCCCTGATATCCTGACCCTGTCCTGTTACCCTGTCCCTGATATCCTGACCCTGTCCTGCTACCCTGTCCTGCCCTGTCCCTGTCCTGCCATCCTGTCCCTGATATCCTGACCCTGTCCTGCTACCCTGTCCTGCCCTGTCCCTGCTATCCTGTCCCTGTCCCTGCTATCCTGTCCCTGTCCCTGTCCTGCTACTCTGTCCCTGTCCTGCTACCCTGTCCCTGATATCCTGCCCCTGTCCTGCTACCCTGTTACTGTCCTGCTAATCGATCAGATTTCGATCGTTCCATGTGTTGTATCCACTCTCAGAAAAAGTAAAGGGCCGGTTCACACTTGTGGTGACAATACACAATCCGATTTTATCATTTGATTGATGTGTGATCGAACCAAAACAACAAACAAATCGGTAAACAACCAACACTTCCCCTCTGATCATGTGCCTTAACCTGGCCATACACCTATAGATTTTCCTATGGGAATTTTCATTTCAAGAATATTCGTTCGATTTTCTAACCATTAGTGGGGGTCAAATCGATGTTTGTTTTCAACCGCAGTGAAAGGGCAAATTTGAACAGGCAGGAAGGAAAACTTTTCTCGATCAAGCGAATTTTCCGCCATATATGTGGTGATCGTTCAGAAATTATATTAATTTTAAACTCGTATGTTAAAAGCAAAAGACAATTTTCAAACAACCTTCGTCCAATCACTGAATGTTCAAAGAATTTCCGTACGATTTTTCATACGAATATTCTAACCCGAAATGTTCACGTGTATGGCCAGATTTATGCTTGTGTAGATTTCCAGACGAGATATTCATCAGGAAAGTCATACAAACATTCTTTGTCTTTTGCTTTTAACATTCGACTTTAAAATGAATGTAATTTCTGAACGATCACCACATACATTGCCCGAAAATTCGTTTGATCTACAAAAGTTTTCTTTCCTGCCCCTTCGAATTTTCCCCGTCACTGCTGTCAAAAATGAACATCGATTTGACTCCCGCTAATGATTAGAGAACAGGGGCGGACTGACAACTCATGGGGCCCCCGGGCAATAGGGGATCATGGGGCCCCTGTGTCCTTGCCCAAACTCAAAAAAGCCTATGAAAAAGGTACTAGGGGCATCTCATGGGGCCCCCTACTGACCCCGGGCCCTCGGGCAGTGCCTGAGTTTCCAAATGGTCAGTCCGCCCCTGTTAGAGAATCAAACGAATATTCTTGAAACAAAAATTCTTGAATGAAAATCTATCTGTGAATGGCCAGGTTTAAGATGGCCATACATGTGAAGATTTTTTGGACGAGCATATTTGTAAGAAAAGTCGTATGAAAATTCTTTGCCCATTTGATGAATGGACGAATGTCGTTCAAAAATTGTCTTTTGCTTTGAACATTTCTGAACGACAGCGAATACACTGTCTGAAAATTCGTTTGATCGATAAAAGTTTTCCTTCCCGCCCCTTCTATAGCTGGCCATACACGTGAAGATTTTCGGCTGAGAATATTCGTAACGGAAGTCATACGAACATTCTTTGCACGTTCAATGAATGGACGAATGTCGTTCGAAAATTGTATTTTTCTTTCAACATTTGATTTGAAAATGAATGTAATTTCTGAACGATCAGCACATACACTGGCCGAAAATTCATTTGATCGATAAAAGTTTTCCTTCCCGCCCCTTCTATAGCTGGCCATACACGTGAAGATTTTCGGCTGAGAATATTCGTAATGGAAATCATACAAACATTCTTTGCACGTTCAATGAATGGACGAATGTCGTTCGAAAATTGTATTTTTCTTTTAACATTTGATGTAATTTGAATGTAATTTCTGAACGATCAGCACATACACTGGCCGAAAATTTGTTTGATCGAGAAAAGTTTTACTTCCTGCCCCTTTGAATTTTCCCATCACTGCTATCAATAACAAACATCGATTTGACCCCACTAACGCATAGAGAATCAAACGAACTTGTGTACAGACAGATCCTCGGCTGTCCAGGCGTTAACTTAGCCAGACATTGTACGGTTCCCCCAAATTCCCCCGAATTCATACCTGGCCCCTCAGATCTGCTATGGATTTTAAAGGGAACCCCTTGCAGAAAAAAAAAACAAAAAACGTTTGAGGTCTGCCGCCCAATTCTATAGCAGACCGTTCGGCTTTAGTGTGGATTTTAAAGTGTTCCTAAACCCACAACAGTACAATCCGTCTGTATATGCAATAAAGCATGCTTGTTATACTCACTGTGGAACCTAAGGGGTTAATCCTCCGCATGGTGTAAAAAAGGCTTTTTGATCTTGTCTTCTCTGATCCTCCCTTCTACTGTCCCCAATTCATCTACTGATAGAACAGAGCATTGGGGGCATGCTGCACATGCTCAGTTTGGTATGTATTGCCAGAGAGGTTTTTTTTTTTTTGGCTTGGGAGAGTGCATGTGATTAGCACAGGGCCAATCAACACTGTCCAGACAGAGGGTCTGGGTCATGCAGACTCATAGGACAGTCAGAGGAGAATGAAAACTCCTCCAAAAAGCTTTAACCAGAACTCTGCTGGATACTGATAGAAGTCACAAGACTGCTATATACTGCTGATGAGAAAAGGTATTTAGCAGTTTATATTTACTAAAATAATTGCATTTCAATGTTCTGTGTACTGTGGGAGACCAGATATAGTGAATGCAGGGTCCGGGGAGACCAGATATAGTGAATGCAGGGTCTGGGGAGAGTGGATATAGTGAATGCAGG